CCCTAGACGAGCTACTCATCGCCAGACCTGACTGGGAAGACTTAAAAGAACTATCTAAAGAAAGAGGGAGAGAGTACCTGACTTGTAAACGGCCGAGGTACACGAAAACTCAAAAGTGAAAAGTAAAAAGTGAAAAGTGAAAGACTTTCGCCTTTTATAGGACAGCCCGGAGGCACGAGAGCCGTTCGATCAAGGAGGAATCAACGGACAAGATCTGTCCACGCCAGACTGTCCCCACGACGACGTTTGGGTTCCCGAAGCAGAAGCTAGGGCTGACGACATCCATGACGTCACACATGCACGCGTGGATTCGACCCATCTCCAGTTAGCTCGGACGACTTCGCCGAGCCGACCTCCGCCCCACCGAAGTGGGGGCCAATGTTGGAGGCGAATCCTGGCCTGCCACGTGTCATGATCAGAAAAGTGAGTTGGGTGAACACGCGAACGAAATGTAGAAATTGACTTCTAGACACTCAGGTCGACAGTAAGGGTAGGACCTACAGTGCCGAGCCGACCTGAGGTAAAGTCCGTAACAATGTCTCTTCCGTACCCAACAACATGCCGCGATTTTAGGGTGTGTCAGAATCCCTGTCGGGCCAAGTTTCTATAAATAGAAACCCTTGCCTTAAATGCAAGGTACGCAATTCTAGATAGACTCGGCAAGTCAGCTCGGCCTAGAACTGACTTGCTCGTCGGAGTGCTAACTTTGTTTCGCAGGACTCCAGAGTCTTCTGGGAAGGTGTTGGACCGTTGGCCATAGTTCATCCTGAACGTTCCGATCTACGTTACATCTGAGCTCAGCAATTTCGGACTCAAACAGACTTTAAAAAAAAATTAACAATAAATTAAAAAAATAATAACAACACGTTACAATGAGTAAGATAAAAAGGCATATCGGGAAGAATTTTTTTTTTTAACTCTCTAACACATGAGGCAGGGATTTCAAACTCCAACTTTTGATCCAAATTTAATGCCTCAACTAGTCGAGTAACGTTGAAATTCTCATATCTAGAAGAAAGTTATTAACTTAATTGGAATAGGATTACACTAGCCATTATGTCATTTCTATGATTTTTAAAAATCAAATACTAATAATGTCTTGTTTAATCACAATTTTGTTTCCAAAACTTCCGCTGGTTTACTGATTACTTCTTTGTTTAGTTTTATGGAACATATTCTAAAACAAATTCTAGTGAAATTGTCAAAAAAAGAAAGTTCATCAGGATTTTAGAAACATTCTTAAAAAAAAGTGAGCTCAAGTAGCAAAGAAAATTATTAGCAGGCAAACAGAAGATGAGAAATTCCTCACTTTGAAAAAGAATCAATAGCATAAACAGGTAAAGAAACATACCAGCAGCAGCAGAGCTCTTGCTCCACAGGACCTGACCATCAATGGCAGTGAGACGTTGATCGTCGAGGCGCTTCCACGTTTTGATGGATTTGACAGTTTCCCAGTTTTCATTTGCTGTTCTTTCCAAGTTAGCCACCACCACTCTGGCTCTCCTGGACCACCCGGCCTTGCCATAGGCGTGGTACCCGAACCCTCCGGCATAGCACAGGTTAATCCCAGTGAGCTCCCCACAGAAGTCATTGAGGTGATCGTGGCCTGTGAACACTGCTTTCACGTCCCCTGCTTCCACCATGGTGGTGAAGAACCCTGAGTTCACTAAAGGAGAGCTGATCCCTGCTTCCATTTTCACACCAGTGAAATTTGTTGAATCAAAACTGGCATACTCAGGCAGTGGTATGTGAAAATATGCCAGCCCAGGTGCTGCAGCTGTTTGGGCAAATGGTTTGTTCATGTATGCCTTCTGAACCCAGAATCAGAAACGACTCAATCAGATTATTACATAGAAAAATGAACTACATGAAGTTATGTTGTCATTAAGGTGTGTTTGGAAGTGATTCTGGCCTTTTGCCATGATCAAAATAGCTTCCCTTTAGGATATTTGGCAAATTAAAAAATTTATTTTAGAAAAGTTTAAAATTACTTTAAATTTATTTTTAAGATATCATTTAGATGACAATTTTGAAAAATCAATTATACTTAAATCTGTTTTTGTCAAAATCAKTCATTCTACTGTCACTCTCAAACACACCCTTAGTTTAATAACTAACTAATTCATTAGATTTCACTTGTATAGTTGAGAAGGATCAATGTTGTGTTTGGAAGTGATAATAGAATGAATGATTTTGACAAAAATGAGATTTAAGTATAATTTATTTTCTAAAATCACGTTCCAAATAAAAATAAATTTAAAGTGATTTTAAACTTTTTTAAAACAATTATTTTTTAATTTGTCAAACAATGAAAAGAAAATAATTTTGACAATGGCAGTTAAAATCACTCTTAAACACACCTGAGAACAAATGGATGGAAGGAATTCTACCTTTTCAATAAGATTTTAGTTTTCTTATATACATATATCTTATCATAATTGTTCTTCAATTAGTAGTATTGTTAATATAGCCATCATTCAAATTTGGTCATAACAAAGCAACAGATATTGTGATGCAGAGAAGATGAGATTTATACCCTAAGATTGGCAGAAGTAAGCTGGAACCAAAGTTGCTGAGAAGGTTTGATCCATCCGTAGCCAGGTATAGAAGGAACTGTGGAGTAATCACCACTATCAAGAAAGTACAGATTCATAACAGATTTGTTCTCAAAACCAGAGCCCTCAACTCCACCAACATCGAGGTTGTAATTCCCAAATCCGTCAATGAATTTTACTTCCGACGGATTGACCTTAGAGAGAGTATTTTTCAAGCCAACTATATGCTTCATTACCCCTTCCCTTGAAAGCGTAGATTCTTGGTCATGGTTCCCAAGAACGGCGGCCCATGGAATATTTGAGGCAATTGCTGGAGCAAATGCCGCATTCAAAGATTTTTCTGCATCCGTTGCATCAAATCCGAAGATATTGTCCCCTATCAAAGACATAAATTACTTTCAGTTTCACCCTATTAGATTCCATCTCAAAACCAGTTAATTTGAATCTTTATCGTTCCATTTCAGAATCAATTGGAAATGAGTAGGATAGCCAATTTATACTGCCCCTTTATATTTTCGACTTGGGAATTTTCGACTTGGGATTCTTAACCTATCGGAATCAATGAAATCGCAACTTAATGTCCAAATCTAAGTTAAATAGAGACAAATTTCCAAGTTTCAGAAATAAATTTGTATTTGATGGGGACTGGAGACATGATCTCGTGCCTCAATAGTGGCTTCTACGAGAGAGTATTTCAACCACCACAAGAATCCGTGTGCTAATCATAAACTTTGACGCGTTTTCGAAAACATTTGGTATAAAGAAATTACAATCAGAACAAAATACCAGTAAAAACGATGAAATCAGGTTTCTCAGCAAGAATCAGCCGGCGAAGGAAGGTCGTGGTGTTGAGGTCGGAGCAAGAAGCCAACTGACTCGGAAGAACGTTCTCACATGGCGTAGCTTTCCCATTCGCATAATGCATATCCGCTACTTGCAGTATCTTAAACGCTCCATTTTTGCCGAATCGCAGCCGCTTTGGCGGATCCTGTTGACCGGCGGTAAATCTGACCGCCGGCAGACTACCGAACAGGAGAACCACCAGGTAGAACGCCACCGGCACCGCCATAGCCATTTGGGAGGGAAGAAAGAGAAAACAGGAAAAGGAGAAGGCCAATAGCCAATTGATTCGAATCACCAACCAGAGCCCGAATCGATTGCCATTAATTTCTACTGACTTCTGCAGTGGTCTTTGGGGAGTGACCAGCTACCGGGGGAAGTATTGAATTCGTTTCTAAAATATTTTATTAATTAACTTTTGTACTTTTCCATCCAAGTAGTTGTTCGGTGGAATTAATTTTATTTAATTAGATCTCATGTATAATAACCACGGTGTTGACGTGTCGACCACCTCAACATGCCACTTTTTTCCCATCCTGTCGATGACACTTGAAACGAATTCTGAAATAGCAACTTAAAATTAGATGGTCAACAAACCAATTTTGAAAAAATATAAGAAAATTTAGTGTAGTGGTCAAATTTTGGATTTTTTGGAACTCTGTGGGTAAATTTGAAAGAAATGAGAAAAAACGGTTGTTTTCTAAACAATTTGGACTTTTTAGGGTGTTTCGTTTGTCAAAGAGACACATATGGTTGGGTTTGTAAGAATGCGTCTCTTGAAGAGATGCGTCTGTCGATCCGTTTTTCTTGTCGTGTAACGTCGTTAAAGGACTTTGTTTGGGGGAGAAATATCCCTTTGCCACGTGGAGGACGGGGATTCACCGTTAACCGAAGAATTAGAGGAATGAGCTTACGGAGAGCTCCATCTCGGATCCTTCCGAGATGGGATATCCACCACTTCCTATTAATGAATTCATTCAACGTATCCAGGAGTGTGTCCAAGGCTGACCTACGTGAACCCGACACGTTCGACCTCAAATTCGACCAAGGTAACCGCCTGTCGTAACCCCTATCGGAACCTAAACTTATAAATAGAGGATCTCTTTTCACCATTAGGTATTGAATTTCTCATCGAACTTAATATTGAGTCCGAGCTACTTATTGACTTGAGCGTCGGAGATTTTGCCCTCTTGTGCAGGTCTTTCCTTCGCGTTCATAGTCGAAACAAGGATCGGGTTCGAGCTAGATTAACATTGTGAAAATCCTTGCATAAACATTTGGCGTCATCTGTGGGAAAGGACAGTATAAGTCGTCCCAACAACTAAAACATTTGATCCGAGATGGTGCATCCAGCAGACTCCGCTAATACTACAGAACGACGGGCCTATAATGCAAACAATGGTGCTCAACGTGAAGTTGACGCCAAGATGACTGAAGAGCAGACTAGGGCAGGGCAAGAGGTGGATCCACCTCGGGGGTCCACCCACAATGCCAATACTGTCCTGCCATCGACACACCCGAGG